CGGGGGGGCCCCTGCGTCACACCGTGAGCGCCGAGGGCGGTCACGTGTTCTGCAGGCCCGACGTCATAAGTACGGGACTGCTCACCACACGTGACCCGGCTGCTGTGCCCCCCCCTGGCTCTTGCCTCATGGAGGGGGGGGCGAGCCCCTGGAGTGGGAAACCCCGTGTTAGCCTTGTAGCTCTGCTCACCACACGTGACACGGCTGCTGTGCCCCCCCTTGGCTCTTGCCTCATGGAGGGGGGGACGAGCCCCTGGAGTGGGAAACCCCGTGTTAGCCTTGTAGCTCAGAGATGCTAACACGCGTTCGGCTGGAGCACACACATTATCACTTACCAGATCCCTCCGCCTGCCCTCTCTCCGGGAGGGCAAAACATGAACCCGTGAATCGGAGCCCGTGGCCCGCATAGCACGCTGCACGCCCTTCTCTGGGGGCTGCAGGCCTAGCGGAGCCACGTTATATGCTCGAGAAGTAACACAATCAGAATTCAAATCATTTGACATGTTACATACCCCCAAATGAGACTCAGACAGCGAGTACTGATGAAATGCCGCACGGCTTTTATTGAAAGAATTCTTCCCACCCCGACCTCCTCTGCCATAGGGAGGTCGTCGGTGGGTGTGTTGGTCCCGCGAGCCTCCCGTGTGCCTGTCTGGGCCCGGGGGCCTCGTCGCTGGGGAACGATGAACCACGGAGCGTGGATATGGTCCGGGGCGCCTGCCGGGCGAGCGCTCCCTGCCTCTGTCTCGGCTCCGCACTGGTGGGCGGGCCTCGCGTCTCGCAGCTAGATGCTGGGCTAGGCTAGCAGAGTCCTTAGCTGCGGTGTCCAGCCTAGTTATCAGCGTCTGCATCTCCGGACCGAAGAGCGACGTTTGGGAGATGGGCAGGTCCAGCAGCTGCCTCTTCTCCGCCTCTCTGAGGTTCACCGGCCCCAGCCAGAGGTGTCTGGCCCCCACTTGTGCTGCTGCCATCGTGCGGCCGCCATCGACAGCTAGCGCCTGGCACATGCGCAAGATCGCTGCTGAAGTGGTCCTTGCCTGGGATAAGGTGTCTCCACTGAGCGCCTGGCCAGAAGAGAGAGACCTATCCAGGGCCCCGGTGATGAAGGCCATGTTGTTAGCCACCGCGACGACCTGAGCCGCATTGGCGTAACATCTATCGTGCATCGCCAAAGACATCCTATCCCGCTCGGAGGGAAGGAGAGGTCTAGTGCCGGGCCACACGGATGTGGAGGGGTACAGGGCCGCCCGAACCAAGTCCTCGATGTCCGGGACCCCGCCGGTCCAGGACCAGTCCTGCACGTTACAATACATGCCGTACCCCAAAGCGGGCCTCTTGGCCGCTAGGGGCTTTGGCCACTCACGTGTCGCGTAATGGACGATCGGGTCCATACGCGGGCACAACGTGGGCTGCGCTCTCCTCCTCCCTCGAGTGGTGGCGTAACCAGAGGTGAAGTCCTCCACCCTCTGGTTCGGTTGCGGTGGCAGGGGGGCATCCATGATGGCCGCCGCCGTGGAGTAGAGCCCAGGCATGTGGTCCAGCGGGAAGCGGTCCGGCTCCGGGTTGGACACCACCTCGTCCAGCGTGAGGAGAGAGCCGACCTCCGACACCTCTCCGTCCTCGCAGTCACCCCACTCCGCGGGCACGGGTGGGAGGTCGAGGGGGGCCCAGTCAGTCACAGACTCCTCGTCCTGAGAGGAGTCCGGACGGGGCGCTGTAGCGGCGAAGAACGCGCGCCTGCGTTCACTCTCCTCCCTGGGGAGAGCAAGACACGAGGCGCAGGTGGCGCTCAACGCCGCATGGCCCGAACCCAGGCACACGAAGCAGCTGGAGTGCTGGTCCTTGCGCTGGAGCTTGACCCGACAAGTCGAGCAACGACGACGTCCGACGCCGGATGGCGAAGGGGAACTCGGACGAGCATCAGAAGACATCTTTCCTCAGGTAAATTGAAATGTAGATCTCAATCGGCGCCAGAGTGAAAGAGGGGGTACGGCCTTGTGCAGGGGCATTTATAGAGGAAGGTGGCTGGTGATTGGAGCAAATTATTTTGATCTCTCTGGCGCGTGACCTGGGGGTCACGAGTGATATCCCACTAGCGAAGTCCTAAGGGACGTAGCACCATGACGTAGAATCAGCGTTGTTCACGCGGCGGTAAACTAGCGAAATACAACACGACTAAGCACCACGAGAAACAGCATGGGGAGTTTTTGCATCGAAAGGAGATTACGTGAAAACAACGAGACACAGATGACACTGACGCAGCGTCACAAAAAGCTTTTCAGCAACAACCCCAAAGTGTTGGAGTTCATCAGTTTGGGCTCGCAGCCCCATAGACCATTTGGAACCCAGGTACATGCCGTCGCCAAATACATATCTGAAATCCAGTTAAAGCTACGGTACTATTATTTATTTACATTTTCATGCAGCGTGTTTTGTTTGTTGTAAGTGTTTATTTATTCAAACACAGTTAATATAAGTACATTTATATTCAATAAATGTATAAGGTATAATACAGTGTTGGAATGTTTAATGTGAACATTGAGCAGCTCTTTATAGTTGCAGTATTGCACATTTATGTTGGATCCATTTTTATCTGGAAATTTTAGCGCTTTAGTTTATCCACTGCTTTTGCAGTTACTTGAACAAAGAGTTCAATTATTAAATACATTTTAGCATGATCATTTCCGGTATCGGTCAATATCGGTATCGGCAGAAACCCATAGCTCTGGTATCGGTATCGGTAGTAAAAAAGCTGGATCAGTGCATCTCTAAATAATATATTGAATATAGTTCCTCCCCTTTGCATAACTTTGACCAGGTTTAACCTGGAGAATAGTTGGGGGGGAGCGGGTCTAACCACAATTTTAAAAGTAACTTTTAGGTTCAAGTTAACCGTATTAACAAGTCTTACAAGTTGTAGGGTTAAACAAGTCTTATTTTGCTTATTATTACTTTAATTTGTTTCATATCAGGACCTTTAATGATTCCGACAGTATAAAAAGTATTTTTTCTGGATGTTTCTTCTGTATCGTAGGTCAGCGGGATAATTTCAATGATTTCAATATGACCGTTTGTCACAATAAAACTCTAGCAACATACAACCATCATAATAACTATTAACAACTGACGGAACTCCAATTTCCAACGAAAATGCCAAAACACAAAATATTTGGAATAGCACAAGGGAAACTGTGTGCATACTTCAATAATAATATTATTATTTTCATGAGAATGATTATAAATTCCATCAGATAAAAACTCAAGCTAGAAACCACCTGATTTTAAGTGGAGGAATTTCCAAGCAGCGTTTAAACAGCTATTGTTTCTCCTATTTCTTTCATGATAATCAAAACCAGCCACTTGTTACATAATTCTAGCAAACTGTGCCCAGGATTGTGGAAGTGGAGTTTCCGTGGCCCAGTCAACCAATCCTCTTCTGTAATCAGAAATAATCCCAAAGGCAAATGTATTTATGTGCAGCGTAGGCAATCAAATCCAACTAAATCTGTTAATACATACATGTAAATAAATACACGCATACATTGCCCATGGCCTGTTATGCAAACTAAACTTGTAGTGGCCAATAACATACACTAGTTATATCGTATAAACAAGTCTATGACAGAATATAAAGCAACAACCCCCAGCTTTAAACCACAGCTTTAAACCACACAGTTTGAAGCTGGGGTACCAAACCTTTGTATTTCATAAATCATACATGTTTGTCCCAAGAAAAAGAGTCTTGTAAAAGTGAAATGTTGTGAATATATCAAACCATAACATGCTGTCTTTGGCATACTTAGAGAGAACCATGTGAATCACATTTTGACGCTTTGGTCTAGGACAGGGGTCGGCAATCTGCGGCTCCGGAGCCGCATGCAGCTCTTTAGTGCTCCTCGAGTAGCTCCTGAAGCCCTTTCAAAAATGTCTGAAAATGGAGTGGAAGGGCTATATTTTATTTCAAGTTTGAATGTGGTTTCTGTAGGAGGAAAAACATTCCTAACGTTTTTAAATGCTGTAAAAATGTGCATAAGTAATATTCAATTTCAACATTTCTGTCATGTGTAGTGCGTCATATCCTGTGACGCGGCCCTGCGCCAGGCGGCCGCTGTTGTACACAAACCGGCGTGTGCGCATGGATCCAAAAGCTAAAAAGAGAATGAGTCGATAATAAAGAAAGTTAATGAGGAAGGACTGCTTCATGTAATGAGAAGTTTTGTTGCAACAAGAGGAACAATGACGCTCAAAACACCGTTCACAGTGATTACGTGAAGGATTAAGTAGTACCTACTTTGATGTGATTGATATGAACAGACAGTGCTGTGATGCAGGTGAACTCTGAGCCAAAAAGCTGATTTATTTACTGTATTTCTACAATTGGATGAAGGCAAAAAAATGGAAGTTAAACTTATTAAAGCAGAGTCGTCACATGGTGAGTCATTCTCTCCAGGACACGCTGCAGTGAAAATATACATTTGATAATCATGAATGCTTATTATGTATTTGTAGCCTTCACTTTGTCTTAATGTTTTAATATATCAGCCTTTATTAGGCTGATATATTAATACAGCTTCAGCCTGTGTTACCTTCATATAAGCCTTATATAAGGCTGTTATTTTTTTGCGGCTCCAGACAGATGTTGTCTTTTTGTTTTTTTGTCAAATATGGCTCTTTGAACCTTTAGAGTGGCCGACCCCTGGTCTAGGAGTTGATTGGCTGAGCGAGAGTGACCCATAGTTTTTTGTGGTCTGAAAGTTACCAGTTGATACGTCAGCTTTAATATATAACCACCAACTTAATTATACAATTATAATTATAATCATGCAGAAACTTGGTAGAACCATTCCCATAATAAACATTTTGATTGCAAATTCGAAAGCGAACAATTTACATAGTCTTTGAATCTCAAACCGCTTCCATTACATTATTGTCAACAATATTGTCCTCAGTCTTTCTGTCACTAAGGAAGCCAAAAGGCACAGCAGAGAAAAGGCCCTTACCTCAAAGACCTCTTCATCCAGGATCCTTGTGCCAAAAACAGTAATGCCCTCAGTGTTGATCACAGCCTGGTCACTTCTGCTCAGAGGTCGAGAAACTTTCTTCTTACAGTCCACGATCATGGTGACACTCTTCTTTTCCACGCTGATAGCCACACGGTGCCATCTGCAACACACAACATTTAACATGGTATGTAATACTAAAAAACAGAGCAATCACTCGGGAGATTTTCCCTAACAGAATGCATCTTGTCAACGTAAAATGGCAGCCCTGTGAGTTGCCGGTGCAGGAGGTTTCTGTCTGAAAAAGCTGAATTAATTAATTAATTTGTCCTGACATTTATTTTTGGTGTGAATCAATAAGGACTGATCATACCTCAATTTCAAAGTCAAGAACAAACTGCTTTATCGTTACATGTAGCATACTGTACAAGTGTGTAGTAAAATAATGTGTTGTGTTTGGGGTTTTATTGAACAACCACATACTTTATATTATATTCTATCATCAGAATTTGAGCATCAAACTACTCAGGGAAAACAGGTGTATAGCATTTGTACTAAAACCTGGAAACAGCATATTTTTCTTTATTTGACACATTCTCACTACCATAGCATGATTATTATCCTACACACATCCTCTGCCAATGATGAAGTATGTCATCAAGCAGCCCAAGTTCACTTGCAGTCATTCTATATCCAGTGCATTGTGACAGTATGAAATGATCTCTCCTGTTTTCAATTAGCGCAGAATATTTATGTTGACTGATTTTTGTCTCAACACTACCTGTTTCACAGCTGTGATTTATGAAGGCCATGAAAAGATATGAAAGGTATTTTGTCCACAGTTATTAATAATGTGTACAACAAAGGTCTGTCATGTTTACTGCTGTCATCATGAAATGTTATTTTTATGGAAAAGTGAAATAAGATTTTACATATAGATAGATACTTAATGGACATGATAGTAATCCAATTATAAATATTCAGTGACTGATGGCTGGAACTTGGACTTGGTATTGTTTTGTCTCATCTTGCAATAACTACAATGCACCTTAAAAACATCTGGTCTGCTACCAGCAGTGACAATTTGATTATAAAGGAATTATAAATATATAATATATATAAGGCAGAGTCTGCACCAGTGTGTTCATGCACCTTGATGAACTTGCTGAAACGCATTGGTGTGTTTATAAATCATCTAAGCCACGTTCAAAACTGTCGGAGTGCCTTGGTTTTCTATTTGCAACAAAGAATGACCTACAACCTCCAAAGAGAACCTGGCTGGTTTCAATCTCACATGTTTGACCTCCATGCAGCGATGCCTACTGTTGTACAGGATAGACTGCTTTTGTGCTGGGCATAAATCATGCCATGACTGGGCATGACGTGTGGTGTGGGTAGAGCACGTCACTCACTTGCCGTCAGCCAGGTTGACAGAGCGGAACAGTGGGTACTCCTCGGGGGCAGGTTTTCCGTGTTGGTCCTCGTACAGAAACACAGGGGCCCGGCCCACCTCCACCCCCAACTGCTGGAGGCCCTGCTGGTTGTACACAGACAAGAGGAACGACTGGAGGCCGGCTTTGGGCTTAATGGTAAACATGATGGAGAAGTCCTCTGGGAAAACTCCACCTGAAAAAAATACAATGACAATTAAACCTAAACACACAAATACACATACACATACGCATACACATACAAGTACTCATACACACACAAATGATTTTTAATTGTCAATTTGTGTTGTCTTTTTCTGGTAGTATGATGTCAGTTGTAAATATAAATAATACTTTTTGGAGTCATTTAAAAAAAAACAAAAAAACATTTACAACACATTTTTAAACATAGTAATAATAATATTATCTCTTGAGCGTGTTTTGTGAATAAAACAATCCAAACTATACACTTTAAGTCATATGCCTTTACTGAGCAAAGCATCACCATAAAATGTACTTCCAAGACTATTTTTACCAGCTTTACGTTAACACTAGCCAGTATGGTAAACATCATATTTATCGCAAATAATAGAACACATTTTGTGAGAGAAACAATAATGCAAAAACCACAACTGTAACTCATGACTGTAACCAATTATATTGTCAGCCCATAACTATAATTGTTTAACCTACATTATTAGTTAAAACATGTTCTCCACTGTTGACCAGATAACCGTACAGTACAACATGTACCAAAATGTCCAAATCGGTGAAATACAGTTTTTACCTCAATATGAATACGACAAAATGTGGTGATGCATGAAACCATTCAAACTTTCTATACTTCTTTCAGAATTCTTCATCACTGTGAAAATTATATTTATAGTGTCATATATTAATATTATAGTTTATAGTTCTTGAAAGGTTCAGGGCATGCTTTGACTGAGTTTTGACTGATAACTGCTTTTATTTATCGTTGTAGCCACAATTTGAACAAGCTAGCCTATGCATGTTAGCAAAACAACATACCTAACTCTAGCTTGTTTGCAAATGGTTTTAATTGAAAAGTAGCAAAACAAACAGTGAGAAATTCCAAACCATATATTCCATGCTGTTATAACATTTTAAAAAACAATGAATACATGAGAACATCAAAGACAATGAGGTTAAAGCTGCAAGCAAGAGGGATAGCATTAGCGTCTTACCTGAGTCCACCTCAAACTGTGGCTGCAACAATCCAAATACCTCCATCCTAATCCTTCATGCTTTCCTTTGTTTTAACATTTATATTTAAGTTTTATGTTGCCTACTGTGCTTACAGTATATATTTAGACAAATTTGCCCTAGTTTCACCATGTGTTGCATAAATACAATTTCAATATGTATTTACAAATGCATTTCTTTTAAAAAATTGGTCAGCTCAAAATGGAGTGGGAAAGAAGTAAAAACATAAATACACTGCCGATGCAAAGGACAAGGAAGGATAAGGACAGATGTTCTTTTGTGATGGAGGTTACCAGCAAACCAACAAGCTTTTGCCTGGGATAATAGGGCGACAGTAGCTCGGTTGGTGGAGCATTGGCCTTAGAGCCAGAGGGTCGTGGGTTCGAGCCCGACTTTCTCCATCGACTCTCACTGTCTGCTGTCATTGTGTCCTTTGTAAGACACTTAACCTCTGGGAACACCAGCCACAGTGGGGCGGCTGCGGCTGTAAAGTGCCAAACTGCCGTTGTGTCCTTAGGCAAGACACTTTACCCCCATTGCCTAGAATGAGTCTGGTGTGTGTGTGAATGGTTGGTGGTGGTCGGAGGGGCCGATGGCACATACTGGTTGCCTCGCTTCTGTCAGTGTGCCCCAGGGCAGCTGTGGCTACAGTAGTAGTTCATCACCACTGTGTATGGAGTGAATGAACAATGACATGTAAAGCGTCTTTGAGTGTCCAAAAAAGTGCTATATAAAACCAATGCATTATTAATATATTCTTAAACATAAATTGGGAATAATATATTTGGACCTAAAGTCTGAAATTCTGAATTTGACATACCATAGATATGTTACAATTTTTTTTATCAACATATTACTTATTCAACTTATTCAAATGTATAAATAATCTTGTTCATTTTCTCAAAGCATTGAAGAAGGAATTGCCATGTTTTCAAGAAAAGCTACCTCACATCTACTGCTCTAAAATGTCTTTTGTTTGTTTTCGAGTGCCTCATTTTATTGTAGACGAAGCCAATCTTTGCTCATAGTAGGCTACCCTAAGCCTGAAAGCACACTAGCAATGATCCATGAATAAGTACAATTGTAAAAACAGATCACTTTTCACTCTATTTTCTAATTACTGCTTTTACAGAGGTCCTTATGACTGTAATCGTGCTGGCATGACGGTTCAGGCTACACTTGACTTTCAGCCGTGAGTCTAGACTCTCCGGGACGGTGTTTATGGAGGAAACTTAAGGTGTTTTTGGACTTTCCCAAAAGCACTCAAATTACTGTGATGTAGCACGTTCATTTTACAAGAGCTGTAAATATAACAACTTCAACAAACCCGCAACATTTGAGGTCATTGTGGAATTACTAAAGCCTATCAAATAAAATGTGAGCTGCTTCCTGTTTTTCACACCTGGAAAGCAAGTTTTCTTTTCTTTCTTTTTTTAACAAAGTCACTTTTCCACAAGTCCTACTCAGCCCAACTCTATTTGGTTATACTCTACCTGGTTGTGTCTCTACTCTTTAGTGTCTGGTATCGTATCTTAGCAGCTTTCTTAGTAGCCTACCCACAACAACCCGTATCTGGATGAGGAAATTCCTTGGTAACCATGGCTTCCAGCAGCACTCTGACCAATCACTTTCAGTTAGAGCACTTTTGTACCAGTCGGTCTTGATAGAACCAGGGCAAAGCAGGTACTAGAGAAGGACCTGGTACCGGATAAACAGGCCCAGTGAAAATACTCCAAATCAGGGTAAAGTAAAGCCATGTATAGTAGAGTGGGGCCAAGTAGTGTTGATGGAAACATGGCTTAAGATCATTGGAAAGACATTGGGCAGGTACATTGAGAAGCAAGTAATAAAGTGAGCATAAGTTAATAATTGCAAGGATATTGATGGACGTTATAAACCTCTGTTAAAAGCAGTTTGAAAATGTTTTGTTCTTTCTTAAAATAGTTTATGAGTGATACTTTAAAAACTATCTGATCATTTTCTAACTTCCCTATGTTCTATGTGTGCAATTTGTTCACGGCTGCAGCATGTTCTTTTTAAACAGCCTTTCAAGACCATTCCATTCACTGCAAAAACTGACAGAAAACAAAATAATTATGCCTTCTCTACCCTGTGACTTCCCGTTGCTTACGTGGCAATAAAAATGATTCTGATTCTGATTCTGATGATTCTGATAAAAGGGCATATTTTAATGGTGATGTCAGCAACTAAAATTGTATTTAATTTCAAAAATAATATATATTTGTATAACTCTGATGTATACAAAGTACTATTAAATACAGTAATTATTTTTTGACTATAATATGTTTAAAATCTGTCTAGTAGCACCATCTTGACTGCATCTTCTGAAACCCTTTGTTATAGAATACTTCATAATTGAATTAAGCACAAAAAAACAATGAGTCAACCCAAGAGAAGAGAGCAGGATGTTTGGATTGAGCTGCAACATTGAGGTAAAACTACACAAATTCTCTCGTTGCAATCAAATCACATTTAACTATGTTTAAAAACACATGTTGAATGGATTACATTTTCACAATGGAAAATGGCATACACCCATTCAATACTTCATAATGATCTCAAAGGCAGGTGCTTTTCCATCACATGAAACACACATCTATGGGAGATGTTTTTGTTTAGTGGCGCTCGGCTGAAAACAAAGACATTAGCTGTAATTTCTGCACCGATTAGGGCTTGTTGTTTTATTTGTTTCTTTGAACGCAATGCCTTGGGTGGCCTTTCCTAAATGACATGTGATAATGTCTTTAAGATGTGTTACAAGGAGAATAGCACATGTTTCCAGAATCTACAGCCTGACAAATTACAATGACTTCCACTGTGCTTGGGAATCAAAGAGTGTGCCCTGCCTAAAGACTGGGATGGGCTCCAACAGCTCCACGGTAAATGCCAAACAATTAATTATTGTGAAAAGGTTAAGACAATACACAAGTACAAGCCATGGCTACATGGCAATTGTAGCTTTGGGGAAATGTAACTACAGTAATAGAATTCATTCAGGAAAGGCTTTAAGCGTGTTTTAACCCTATAATTAATGCATTCTAATTAATCTAGAACCTCAAACAAAAATGTATAAGATAAGATAAGAGAAAATAAACTTCCATCCATCCTCCATCCATTTTCTTCCGCTTCATCTGTTACCGGGTCGCGGGGGCAGCAGTCTGGGAGACACCCAGACTTCCCTATCCACACACATTTCCTCCAGCTCGTCCGGGTGGACCCCAAGGTGTTCCCGGGCCAGCTGAGAGACATAGTCCCTCCAGCGGGTCTTCCCCGGATCCTCCTCCCGGTGGGACGTACCCGGAGGCACCATGAACAGATGCCCAGGCCACCTCAATCAGTTCCTCTCGACATGGAGGAGCAGCAGCTCTACTCCATGTGACTGAGTTCCTCACCCTATCTCTAAGGGAGCGCCCAGCCACTCTGCGGAGGAAGCTCATTTCGACCGCCTGTATCTGCTATCTTGTTCTTTCGGTCATTACCCAAAGCTTAGGGAACGACGATTGACCGGTAAATCGAGAGCTTTGCCTTTCGGCTCAGCTCCCTCTTTACCACAACGGTCCAATACAGCGAGCGCATCACTGCGCACGCTGCACCGATCCGCCTGTCAATCTCTCGCAAAATAAACTTTATTGGAGTAATTTTTAATGCACATACTGACCCCATTTGACTGTCTATAAAGGACAAATACAAGGTTCTCTTATCTTCTAATGCAATCAAAGCCAACTTTATTTGAAGAACACTTTAAAAACAATAAAGTGGACCAGGGTTGAAAAACAAAACAAAGTCAATCTCAAACTGTGTGAAAAGGTGTGTCTTCCTCAATCAGAAATATTTATATATTATTTTATTATAATTTTACTTATAGGGCCACTTTAGTTAACCAGACTTGTCCAGGAGCCATATAGTATAACTGTTTTGACTGGATTCATGCTGTTCTGAGCTTTGAATTAGGTATGACATGTTCACAAAGATTTACATATGACAGAGCTGATGTTGGCTGAATGTAAAAACGTGTAATTAGCTGTAGAAAGTGAGAGTATATATGCAATTTTGTGCAATGATCACCAAGTGAAGTTGGTATTGTCAACCGAAGTCAATTAAAAGAAAAAATAATTTAAATATGCACTATCAGGCAAAAATACATAATGTACTATTTCATTCTCTTCCCTTTTCCTGATAACTGGGGCAAAATACATTTTATTTGTCCATAAGAGTCTTTGAGGATGAATCAGACCCAACACGCTGTCTTTCTCTAACATCTTTTGCATGTGTGAAAGGCCCCTGTGAGTCACTATTTGATGCTTTGGCCGAGAGCTGATTGGCTGACTCAGGGTGTTCCTTTGTTTTTTCCTTCTATCAAAGAAAGATAATCAAAAATACATACGCTAGCACAAAATATAGCAATGTTTTGAGAGCTAATAATTTGTTAGATGGATTTTATCAAATTTGTGTGGCCTAAAAGTTAGGTTCCCCAGCTTCAAGTGGAATTTTCTTAACATATGTCTAGACCAAATGTCCACCAGGCAGAAAAACTTCTATGCCCATGCTCTACTCCTACTCAACCTTTGCATGTGAATGTCATGATGTATGTTATGATCACATTTCCGGTTTTATTATTGTACTTTTGTGTTTTCTCTTGGGTTTCTCCGGACGGCACATGTGTTGGCAAGGACATTGACCCATAGGAATGCCATCTGAGTCGTCCCCATTGTGTCTTTACAGGCCGCAAAAAGCCAGGCTCTTTATTAGACTTAGGCTTGTAAGTTGTACCAGGTATGACTTTAAGACGACAAGAAGCCTGCTCTGCTCTTCTCACTTTCACTGTATCCTAAACAGTGGGTTTAAACTCGCCCAAAATAACATTCTGCACAGGAATTTAACCTAATAAACGAGACAGCAAAATACTGTAGTCTCTCTCAATGTGGAAAACAGGTGTGTTGCTAGAAACCTGATACCTCTTAGTTAAATGTGTGTATTTTTTAGACTTTATCTTAGTAGAAATAGCAGCAGTATTAGTCACAGAAGCAGCAGCAGTAGCAGTAGTCATAGTATCAGTAGTAGTAGTAGAAGTAGCAGCAGTATAGCAGTAGCCGTAGTATTAGTTGCAGTATAGTAGAAGTAGCAGCAGCAGTTCTCGTAATACAGTAACAGCAGTAGTAGTAGTAATAGTAGTAGCAGCAGTATAGTAGTAGCCGTAGTATTAGTTGCAGTATAGTAGTAGTAGCAGCAGCAGTTCTTGTAATACAGTAGCAGCAGTAACAGTAGTAGTAGCAGTAGCAGCAGTAAAGCAGTGGCTATAGTACAGTATTAATTGCAGTATAGTAGGAGTAGCAGCAACAGTTCTCGTGATACAGTAGCAGTAGTTGTAGTAGCGGAAGTAGTATCAGATGTAGTAGTGGTCTTAGTACTTTGAGATATGTTTTGCTTGCCAGGGCAATCAAAATAGCAAAAGGACAACCCCTAGAAGTTTTCAGTCATATGAGATGCAGGTCTATGATGGTATGATGCTGGTACCTGGGAAGAGCTGGTTTGTGGGGGCGCTGATCTGGGCCTGTTTGCTCACTCGGTACGCGATGTCTGGTTTGGCTCCTCTCCTCATTTTGCAGAATCCCGGTGTTTTTTGTACGCCATCTGGAGAACTTTGGAAATCTAGCACCTTTAGGACGTCCACTGGCTCAGCTGTGGGATAAAAGAGACAGAACTGGGTCAATATCAAATGGCATGACATTGGCATGAAAAGCGCCTATGGTATACTTTGATGTATTTACTACAAAGGGCCCAGTGGCATTGATGGGTCATTTTCTAATGTGTTAATCTCATGAATGTCTAATGTCTATTCAGTTACTCTTGAAATTTGTGAAGATCGGGGGACATTTTTCAATTGCTATCACCAGTTAGACACAGATAGGACAAAATGTATTACAATCTTTTATAGACAACTGAGGCCCCTCCCGTGGAAACTATTACTGGTGGTGGTTATGCCAAGGGAAGGACTGCTTTAAATATACTACCTAAAAAACAGTTGTGGACATCACCTTTAATTGAAAATGGCAAAAAAACCAAAAACAACTTTAACTGTGATTTTAAAATATTTTACTTTCCTGTACCAAATAAATTGATTATCTATATCTGAAGAAGAAAAAAAACCTCAATATGAATAAGAACTAGTAATAATTCACTTTTTCTTTCATTAACTTCATGTATCTGTTTGTTTGAGTGCATGGTAGCTGCCTTAAGTCGCCCAAGGACATGTTTTTCCCATTAAAATGGCTAGGTGTAGTTATTCCCCTCCAGACATCTTTTACGTTCATACAAACTTTGGACACATTGTTTTAGCATCATGGCACCAATAATTTTTACTTAATTTATCAATGTCAGAAGAATGGACATATGATCTCCCTTCAATCATAAACTAACAATCTCAGGCCTGAACATAAAATAACCCATAATTACAGACCTGCCCATTAAACCAATAGCATTTTACATTCATCTCTTAAACGTCGCCGTAAATCCCAAATTCTCTGCCACGTACGCTCGTAAATCGGACTAATTTGCGCCCAGCATAGAGCCGTATCTTTGCTGCGCTGATGGAGAAATGTATTTCAGATCTTGCAGGTATTGTAAAACTGTAACAGTAATTTTATGGCTCTCTATAGAAGCGTTTTAGCAGTCAACAGGCGGGCTAATGGTACCAGGCATTTTAATGATAAGTCAACATTTTACACCCGGACACCCCACTGGACTCTGTCAGTGTGTTTATGGTGTACTTTGGCAGAGTGAGAGGCCATTCAGGAGACATTATTGTCCCAGCATCCCAATTCTACTGCCCCCCGAGGTTCTTCCTAATATGGGCATGGTATAAATCCATTGCCGGCATGTGCTAGTTAGCTACACAGACTGTATATAGACAGACAATGCTCCAGTAAACCACTAGCTCGATGAAGCCAAATGGGGAGGTGATCATGAACTAAATGTTGCTCCAACTTAGTGCAAAGTTTTTCTATTTACAGTTAAAAGTTGTATTTATTTAACTTATTTTTAGATAACTATACCAAACTACAAAAAAACAATACTTATGTTATAAATTCCATTGACGTATAGTTCCTTGCTCAAAAAAATATCACTACATAAATGTTTTTGGCCTCTGTCATGTCTTAAATGTGAAAAAGAGAGGACCACCCTCACTCATCCCTCACAAAGCATCAACTTCAAAATATGTTGTTTTCTAAAATGATCTGGTCTGCTTTGTTCACATTACACTTCTTTCTTTTCATGTATTACTTTAAAAAACTAAAAAGATAGGTTATCCAGCTTTTCCAGATCAGTAGGTATTGAAAAAAGTGAAACAAAAAGCTATCCATTTTGCAATTTGAGATGCCTGCCAGATTTGATGGTCTTTTTGTTTTCTGATTACAGAGATTCTTTGATGATCAATTCTTTTACAAATGGAACAGAAGTGGTTGTAAATAGAAGGTCCTGGGTTCGAATCACGGTTGGACCAGGGCCTTTTGGAGTGGAGTTTGCATGTTCTCCCCGTGTTTGCGTAGGTTTCCTCTGGGTACTCCGGTTTCCCCTACCACTAAAAACATATACAATAGGTCTGGCATGGGCCTCTGTACTGGCGACCCCACTCCCATCTCTGTGTGGAGTGAGAGTAATAACAATTGTAAACCGCTTTGTGACTCTGGTCTGTGAAAGGCGGTACACAAATAAAGATTACTTACTTACTTACTAAATGCCAAAAAATCAAGACAAAAAATTGAAAATGTAAAATTGAAAAGAGCCTTGAACACATATCCATGAAGAGAAATGAGGTATCTTTCGAAATAAACCCCCCCCTAACAATTATTCAAATATTTCAACTCATTTTGAGTTATTAACACTTAATATTATTAGCTGTAGTCTGTGTACTTTATTACCTTGAACTTTCTCAGATCTCGTACATACTGTAAATCAATTGCATGAACAAAAAGGAAATATTTCTTTTTTGACAATATAACATTCTGCATTTGTCTTGACAATCTGCACAATGTCTTTCAATGTAAATACGGTTTACTGTATGCTCCAGAATACATCCAACATTACTACATAATTTGAAACAGTCCAGTAATATTAATTATCAAGAAAATATTTTGACAGCTCTGGAAATCTGAAAGTCTTATCAAAGTCCTCTATTGTATATTCTATAATGGATTTCTGCCAGTAGAAAACCCCAGTGGTTACTATGACCTTATGATATGCAATAAAAAAGTGATTTATGGGACTTGTTTGTGTTCAGAAATATGGGCCAAGTATGTGACACACACTGTGTTATGGGAGAGTGCACTGTGGCTGCAGAATGTAGATGTGATAGTTTTGGGTTGTCCCTGAACTGTTGCATAGTGATCATATCTGACCGTGTGGCAGCTTTAAATAATGATGTCTTATATTTAATAGTAAATGGCTGCCGCTAATGAGGAGTGCAAATTGTTGGAGTCTCAATACAGATTCTAACTCTCAGAAATGAATACTTTTATGTATTGTTTATTTTGCCCAGCTTAAGCCTAGAGGTCCTAGAAAGTGTGCAAGTAAATGTTATTGTATAGCACATAAAGCTGGGTCACCTAACATTCAATCCTCATATATAGAACTACTGTATGCAATAAGATCCATTACTAGTTCCCTGCCACTGGGTGATGGATAAAGCGGAAGAAAATGGATCGATGGATGGATTCTATCAACTTGTATGTGTACTCGTTCTCATTGTACGTTTCTACTGTAATTGTGAAGCCTAATGTGACCCTGGTCTGTGAAAGGTGCTTTACCTACTCACTTACTCAATAGTGTTCACATGCATGCATTTTTTGGCCTCTTTGTCACATCTTTCAATCAGCTTTGGATCAGAAAAGTGCAAGAGAGAGGACCGCCCTGTGCTCTCAACCCAAAGCAGAAAATAGTGACATGGTTCTTTCTCATAAGCATGCAAGAATTTTTTTCCCCAAATAGGATACAGACCACATGTTGTTGTCTGAAAAAGTTAAAGAACCCCAGCTTTCCGTCATATAAACCAAACTAAAACAATCCAGAATATATAGCTAAAGCATGAAGTTTGAACTAAAATATCTAAGAAGAAAAAGCACATTAATGTCAGTGAGCAGATATCAAAGATCCATTGCTTCTAGAAATAATAAAATAAATACACAGTTCTTCTCCAAAATAAAGATCAAAGGACAGTGGACAATAGCCCGCATGATTTAATCCCGCTCACAGTATGTCTGCGTCCTCTTAATGACTGTAAATTTCACATATAAAAAAACACTGCAGCTCTTTATGAGACTCCATGTAGCAATAGTCAACAATGAACAATGGTGTATGAAATGTGCTGGCTCCGATACAGGCCAAGGACAATTCAAACCAACGTTGTTTGGAAGATAGTTTGCAAATCTCCATATTAAACAGAATAGAATGCAAAACAGAAGTACTGCAGAGAAAGCAGACATCACATATCCCTCTTGACCAGTGCAGACCAGGAGCACTGTCCAGTTCAAAGGCCCAGAGATGATAAATGTTCTAACGACTGAGTTGAAATTCCCTCAGAGGAGAAGGGGCCGTGGGGGAAAAATAGACTCCTCTGAATCTTGCGGCCAAGATAAATACATTCATGTGTTTGATAATGGGGGAAAGACAGTAGCTTACTGATGTGTGGTTATGTCAACAAGTGTGGCATTCTCACACTTTTCACGCCACCGATGCATCTCTGCTTTTGGCGGAAAATAAAAAATCATGCCATTCCATACCATACCAGCATCGTAACAAGTTTGTTCAACTTTTTGAGTATTGCCAGAGCTATACCCAATTAAAAACATGCTTTAAACATGAATAATCAGTTCACAAATGATAGAATTTCAAAGAAGTTCAGTGGACCGTGAGTGACTTCAGAGACAAAAGAAGCTTAAGAAATATTGTATTAACATCCAAAACACACACATTACTTTCTTATCATCTCTCTCTTATACAATTCAATGTTTATATTAATGTACTTTTGCTTTTTCTCTAATTAAAACGTTCCCAGCCTCTATAGTTCCTATATGTATAGTAACCAAAAACTACTACAGTTGATGAATTTGATTTTCTGTTTTGAAAGTCATGCAGTTTTAAAGTCAGTCATTGTATACTTTATTGACATATTGAGAAGGATGTGTCACCAAAACGTGCAATCTAAAATCCTGAGATGAAAAACAGGATTTTGTCTAATTTATGGATGCATTTCCTGCAGTAAGCTGTATTTGCATTGTGTGGCAAAGCATTGGGCACGACTACTGTAATAGTGTATTTGTCTAAGTCATGTGGCACGTGAAGCCGGGAAGTGCTGATTATGCACTTCCTGTTCGTTTCCATATATGGGCGCACATGTTGAATCCATTATGGGCCTGGCACCACTCCTATAACTCTCCCTCCTTCGCCCCACACCCCTTCCCCCAACTAAAACATACAGAGAACCCCCCCATCTGGACAGTCTCTCCGCTTGTGACCAGGAAAAAAGAAAAAGTGAAATGAATCAAAGCAGAGATCACAAAGATGGGTGTGATCTGATTGTGCTTAGTGGAAAACACTGGAGAAGGTTTGGCAGACGAGCGCGTGACAATGGACCAACTGTTTAATATCAACATGAGCTAAAGGTCAATTGAGTTCAGGAAAGC